GTTCCAAACCTTAAGGTTCCCTCTGATTCCAAGGGTTACACACACACACACGCACACACTGACGTGTGCTTAGTAGGGAATAACGGACTGGGCCCCCAATAGAGATTCCATTGGGTCCAATTCGGTCCAATCCCTCATTCCCTACTAAGCACAAGTCATCACCTTGCTAATGACTTCTCATGATGTCCCGCGTTTCGCATGCAGACTGCTTCATATTGCTTCATACCGGCATTCAGGCTGGCTCATACTCTGAGGCCCGAGCGATGGTAGAGGACACTGACCATGTTGTGACATGGAAGTGCAACGCAGAATTTGGCACCCCACTCGTGGACACACTGGGCCTATTGCTGCTACCGTGTGTCAACCATCCAGCAATGAACGCTTGAAGCTACACATTTGTTGTTAATGCGTGTGCCGTGTCAATAGCTGTTTATAGCTGTCGTCCAGGGACTTCCCAAATCTTGAAGAATTCAACCCCCTGCATTCTCTGGACTTGGTGAATGAACAATGCAAAGTGCGCGGGTTGGAGGCAGGTTGGAGTCACTTTTTTCATCGCAGGACAGTGAAGAGGTCAATGGCAACAAGACAAAGCGACCGCAAAAGTTAGCTCCTCCTTGCGAGATCCCGAAGCTCTTGCAAAAGGACTGTGGGCAACAAATGGCAGGTTTGCCCCCTTTGCATTGTTGGATCCGACGTGCAGACTAATTTTCTTTGATGTGGCAGTTCACAACTAAGTGTTCAACATCGTTGGACACTTTTCACAAGATTGCTCGGCACCTCGCTTCTATTAGGAGATGGAGCTCGGTCGCGAAGCAGTGGGGATCCAGAAGGCGTTATCAAAGCGGAAGCAGGCACCATGATGGGGGAGAAACTAAGTGACATCATCGTGCATTGCTGCGAGATCCTGTCTTCGTGTCATTTTCAGCTAGCCAGTGCCCGACCGAATTTGCACAGGTGAGAGCAGGACGGGTTGCGCAGCTTAAAGCAGTGGGCGGCCTTGGAACCTGCGGCTGCTGCTTTGATGATGAGTTGTTGCCGGAGGCCGAGCTGCCACACGGGGCCTGGGCCTTCATGTGCCGCAAAAAGACCACCTGCGAAGGCCCATAGTTCCTGGACCTAGAGAAGCGGAACCACTACACCCCGTAGCAGGTAGCGGCACACACCCCGTTCGGCTCCCGGACCTCTCTTCCTGTGGGCAATTGTGGGCACCATGTGTTACACAAATTAGGTTTCCAGATGTTTTCGAAACTTAGAGGCATCATTTGGAAGAGCTTTTGACGTTTACCTTCTTCTTTCTACACAGGAACCTCGCAAATTTGCAAATGTGTTATGTCATGTTTACTTCCGATTGCTTGGACCTCCTGTCCCAGGAGGAGCTGCGATGCAATGCGGCTGAGGGTCATGGCTTTTGCATTCCCTGTGTCTCTTGGATGGAGGCGAAAGCCCACAACAACTAGGTGCCGAGCGCATTTGTAGGAACTACCAGGCGTTTATTTGTTGGAAGATGCGTTTCCCCTGACATTATTCCAAAATACTTTCATCCGTCCCCTGTCGACTGTGCACTGATCGACACTCTGATCGACATCGCTGGATGTCACGGCCGGGTAGGCACCGCATGGGTCACGCACGTTTGATCCCAAGAAAGGGTGATCGGATTCGGCGACATCCGACTGATATGAGCCACTGGAACTGACATGCCTGTGGATGATCCTGTTCTGCTTGGGGAAGTTCGGTCCACATGTGTCAGTTTTGCCCAGCACCATGCAGGGGGTAGTACTATCAATTATGTACTGTAAATTTGCCGCGGAAGGCTGTGCAGGTATAATGGAGCCCTACGAGCCACTGCAGGTTTCGACATACAACCCGCAAGATTGTCCCCAGAATACTGCAGCTAGTGTAAAACGGCTCTAGCTTCAGCATAGTTTATGGAAGGACTTTCATGGTCCCGAAAGAGGTGCTGTGCGTAGAGTGTGCCGGTGCCAGTACGGACAATACGGACAACACTTCAGGCAGATCTTGTGCTGTAGGATGCCGTCAGAACAAGATCTCTTGGGCGCTGTGTCTATTAGTGTATTGTATATACTGCACGAATGCACCGTTAGATCTCCATCCATCCCTCCGTCCGTCCGTCCATCCATCCATCCATGCATGCATGAGTATTGCGTGTGTGTATGTCACGAAGTGAAAAGAAAGCACCCAGGATTTGGGGGTGAGGGGTTTGTGTTTGGCCTGGCTGGAAGATAATTAATCCATATTAATCCGTCCACAGAAGCACAAGTGTTGAATATGCACCGTGCCCGTGCTTTCAGGGTGTTTTTAATCTCGGTGCAGCCACCGTATGCAAATGCTGTTTGTTGTGGCTCAGTCCCCTTATGCTGAGGTTAAACGTGCAGCAGCGGAATTCTTTGGCCAGGGCTTGTTTACGCTGAACCTATCTGCCGGCGGCTCGTGCCACGGCCCAATCTTTTTGTTTTGTTCCTTTTTTTGTCCACAATGAGAAACCCATTCGGCGGAAACAGTTTTGCTTGTTTGCCCCGAGTCAGTCAGCAATGCAAGATTTCACACCACCGTCAGTAGCACTTCCTTCGAAGGATCAACTGATCAAGCGACTCAAGTGCATTCATCATTCATCATTCATCGAGCTAGACACTCCACACGGTTTTTCCATTGGAGTTCTTTATCTCCGCCGGACGGCCAGAACGAAATGTCATGGGTGTGCTGACTGCCCTCACCTCGACTACTCCCCTCAGAGGGCAAGCACCTGGAGGTCCTTCTGAACGACTTAATCAGGCATTAATAGACCACTATTGTTCAACAACATGTAGGGCGCTAATCGAGTCCAAACTCACTTTGAATAAGGCATGCCGGTTTGCCTCTGAAATGATGAGTTTGATGATCAGCGTCCAATATTTTAGGGGATCCGTAGACTACAAACAAAGCTTCGGCCCACAAGGTGTCTTCAAGGATCTGAAAAAATGTTCGTCAATAACATTTTTGTCAGGACTATTAATTAATGGGTTAGAGATAGCTTTCCGTTTTCCTTCGCAGTGCTTTCCCGCATGGAAGAAGCTTGCCGGCGCCGCATACACTGCATGTGGACTCTGTTGTGGGGCTTGTTGGAAAGGGTGCAATGGCCCCCCTTCTTTGCAGTGCGATCTAGGCACATCGGACTCGCAAATCATCGCATGGTCAACATAGCCATATTGAACACATACTCACATGCACATGACCATCAGTGACAAGTGACAACAGCTTTGGTGTCGTGGAATTCTCAGGTCATCTTCAGAGCCACCTCGTGTCAGTGCGACTGTCCTTCGCTGTTTGGACACTTCTGGCTGCGAAGGGCACTTCTTGGACTCTTCGCTACAGAAGGCCCTCGTCTATTTGTGTTTTGTTTCCTTCTCGGGCACGTGCCCGCGCGCACACACACACATTCTCCCTTCACACCTTCGGCCTATTCGCGGATTCTAATTCGATGGACTGAAACTTGTCAAATGCTGTTTTGTTGCAGCAATGGCAGTTGTTGAACCACCATGCGCTCGAATCCTTTTTTTAAATCTTTGTGTCATCCTTCTCCGCTACATTGCCGTGAGGCTTTGCCACGCAAAGATTATGCCATTCAGCTGCACCTCGCGAGTAGCGTGTTTCTTCTCCACCTTGAAGTCCGCTGAGTCGCGCGTGTCTGACGTGTAATGTCGAACTCGAGTAACCCGGATTCTTTGGCCTGAGTCTCATGGCAGATGGCTTTCCAATTCTCAACCTGCTTGGGGTGTTTGCTAGGAGCATTCTTTGGCCGAATGGTTTGCACAAACTGAGGTCAGATACTCAAGGCGATCAGCTGCATTGCAGGCAGCTGCCTCTGGCTTAGAAGATTTGGTCGCGTGCACGGGTCCCAGCAGACAACTGCCAATAACTGCGGACAGTTGGGTGAATGGAGGATACCTACGCAGATCTATGCAGATCCATGTGAATGACATCGAATGACACGTGATGCCATCCTTTCTTCATGGCAAGTGATTTGGCACCAAGGTCCCTCATGCGACTTCATGGTCCAGATGAGTGACCGAAATGCCGCTTGACCGCTCTTGGAGGACTCAAAGAGATACGGTAATATAATGTAATATACGTATATACTGTATAAGCTAATGAACTATGATATTTTTACATACTTGTTTATTACATATATATATATATATGTGTGTTTACCTAGAGAGAGTGTTCAGAGGGTTGCTGCTGAATGCTTTTCAAGGATGGGATCGTGAGATGTTTGGATCCAGAGTGTGGGAAAATCACTTGCCGCTGGTGCATGCAACCAGAGCATGGTCCATTGAAGTGCGATGAAGTGGAGAAGGTGTCTTGGCTGCGGTATTTCTCCACACACGGCCAACCCTTTGTCGGCTCTTTGCTGACTGCTGGATAGCTGACCAGTTGCCCAGGACGGAGAAACCCGAATCAGGCTGCGGCATTCTTTTGTGAGAGTATGTTAGTATGTTCCTTTTTGTTGCTGTGTCATGCACAGCTGTGCGAAATGACCAGGCAGACATGCAATTCCGCCACAGCTATGTTCCCCCCTCGCCCCAGCAGAAAAAGACACAAATAGATTCAGCTGACTTGGTAGAAGAAAAAGGCAGCTGACTTGGCCCTTATTACTGTATACAGATGATTCGCGGCAGGACCTTCCTGGAAGAAAAGATGGCAGAAGCGGTTCTGCGCAGGTTGGGTGATGTTGGGTGCACGGTTCATGGATTTTCACGGGATGCACAAAGAAGTTAGGGCACCTTATCCTGAGAGGTGCCCAAAGTGCCACAAGCCGTACGAAAGGAGCGGTGCTTTTGACGAATGATATCATCGTCATGCCAGACTTTTCGCAAGGACGGAAGGGTGCAACCACATCAGATGCCCTTGCGGCACACATAGTTGGATGCTCAGGGAGCGCCATGTCAGAATGGTCAGCAAGTCTGAGGCCTTTGTCCGGACCATGTCTGTGAGGGTGTCATGGAATGCTTGAGATCACGCACGTGCGTGACTGTGCGCTTAGCTGCCCAGGCTGTTACTTGTGCGGGCAAGAGCTGGACAAGAAGCGGCCATACGATCACTACAAGGAGTTCAAGTTGCACCTTTCAATTCATTGAGCTCACTTCTATAATTATGAATTATGAGGTTCTGGTGCCACCAGTCCTGGAAGTTGCTGGCACGACATGGGTTTTTCGAAATGAGTCGGCAAGATGAAGGTATGTGCGTTCTGTCATTTCTTCCAAAAGAAGGTAGGTCGGATAAACAGAGTCACATAGAAAACAGGCACATATATAGTTGTACGATGTTGTATGCAGGGCTTTTGCTTGCCATTCTCTTTGCTACCTCTGAATCAGGTCTCATGCACTTTCCAGGCTTTCTTAGTTCATGTTTGGACTTGCCTCTCCACATCTGGCTCATGGGGAGGTTGCCGAGCTTCACTTCGAGGATGTCAAGTCTTTCGAGTCTTTCGTCCAAAAAATAGGATTCCTCCTCCCACTGCCAAGAATGATCTCTTGTTTTCATCTGACCTCTTTCATCCTTGGTCTATTTTGTCTGAAGCATTTTGTTCAATGATGTTCAATGTGCATTTCCTTGTTGAGCAAGAACTGGATGGGTCGCTTGAATTTCGCTTACACTGTTCCGCTCGGTTCGCATGACTTCGCATGACGGTTCGCCAGTCAGTTTCCGCTCAGCGTCGCAGGATGGACACCTTGGAGGTGGCACCAATGATTCCAGCTCCAAGTGCATTGTGTTGGACACTCAAAGGGTGACGTGCTGCGAGCTGCGATGTTCGGACAGAGATTGATTAAGATGAACTTGAGAGAGTTCCAGATGTTTGTTGAACCAGACTGCGGATCTTTGCAGATCCAGTAATCCTAGCAAACACTCGCGGAGGCGGAGTGACCTGTCAGATCGTTTCGTCAAATCGAGACATCAACCGTCTTTGAAGTTGGCACCTGTCACCAGGATTGTTTTATGTCGTATTTTTGGGCGATGACGCGGGGTGTTTAATTAACCTTGGGTAAGCCACGGACTAAGCTAGCCTCAAACAAGCCGCGCAAATGTCTCAATCGACCATCCTCCGTCTGCACACGACTTGACGATTCGAGGTACGGCACACCAAAGTGGGCAGAGAGCAAAAAACAGAGAGAGGACAGCGACAGCTGGGCGGGCGACTGTCCCTGTGATCGCCGATGTGATGCCTATGCTCCCGGCGACCAAAGGGGTACCACACCAGCGACCGGAGGGGTGGAGGCTCCTAAATGTGTCAAAATGACCTGCCACAGCCACATCGGAAGGACATGGCGCTTGGTCGGGTGGCATCCGCCATGGTCCAAGCATTTCGGGGCTTGGACGGGATGGACCAACCGGCTTTCCCCACAGGAGGCCGAAGCGGCGCTGCGGAAATATTTGAGCGAAAATCCCGAACTCCAAGAGGTGGCCAAGGCCTCGAGCCATGCGAAGCGGAAGAGGCCTGACTGAATGATTTTTTGTGTGTCTTTTTGCACATTGTGTGTGCCCGATGACCTGCAACAGTCAATAAACGATTATCACAATTTTTTGAGAAAGGCCTTCATTTACCATCATCATCCACCATCGTAGGGAATGGGATGGACCCAGTTTTCACTTTTTCTGATGTTTGAATGCGCTCCGTTCCATGATGAACATGGTTGATGAAAGAGACCCGTTCTGACGGTTTGTTTGTGATCGATGCCAGGTTGCAGGAAATCATGCAACTTTCTCCGCTGAATGCGCAGAAGAAAAAGAGAAGCTCGGAGGAATTCCTGTCACCCGAGTTCCAGCGAGCTGCTTGGATGAAACGGGGAGCGTGGGAGGAGGAGCATCGGGTGGGCTTAGGGTTCAGGGTTTGCATTGCGTGAACGCTTGTGAACACCTTGAATGCATGAGAGGCTTGCTTGATTCAATGATGCCATCTCCACAAGTGAGCTTGGCAAAGGGGCACTTTCTTGCGGAGAGTTTGGGTGGACCTTTGCGCGAGCCCATAGAGCATATTCACAGTCACCTCTGGGCAGGTGCCGAATATGTGAGAGTCCCATGAGTGATCGGGGGAAGCAAAAGTGCCGAGTTCAAGAGGCCAAGAGCGTGGTGCCAATTTGAGGCTCGGATGCGCAAGACTCACAATTATTTTAGAATATTCGGAATGGTGGTTGTGGCTGTCCTTGAGTGACATACCTGAAAGTCATTCCAAAGTTTTTTGTTCAATCTCTTTTGCTGCTGGAGACCGCACTAGCTCCAGAATTGTCATGTAACATCATGTAATGTCAGGAACGGGCTTGACAGCATGCATGTTGAGTATCTAGAACGTGGGGGGGGGGCAGGACGTTCACACAAATGCAGATGCAGGCAAACTTGTGAAACAACATGCAGTGTCCATGCTTGGCAACGCATGCTCTTGGTGATGTTTAGGGCTCAAGCCCGCCCCTTCCGATACCGAAAAAAAACTCCCGCATGTTCCGTTACCATCACTAACTTATGCTGCTTGGCATAAATGGATGCTTGAGAATCCACGTTTGGCTGTTTCGGTTGCTGACTCACGACACCTGAAACACTTGCATCTTCAGTTGTGACCCAGGCTTCAATCAAACAACAGGCTGGCAGTGTGCAGGGTTATCAACGTCCAAACAATATTTCAGAACACTTCACAATACCAAGAATAACAAATTTGATTTACAAAAAGACTGTGTGCAAACAGAGTTTGTGCAATATTCTTCGGATGTTGACAAACTGTCAAGGGGCTGGTGCCCAATTTGCACGGAAGTTTGTTGTTTGTTTTCAACGCCACCAGGGCGGCGCCTGCTTTGCTTCGCTGTGCAGGTGTGTTGGCATTGCGAAAGGTTAAGTTGTTTTTTTTTTTGCGCAATCACAAAACCTTGTGCTTGAAAACAACCATGCCATAATGTTTGCGGAAACGTGTGACTCGCGGGCGCGGCGGCATGTCTTGTTTGATGACATGCATGTATTCGCAAATGGACAAGACATCCATGGTCCCTTGGACCGATGTTGGCTTGTTCACTCGGTCTTCCAGTGGTAGTCAAGTAATTAGTTGGACTCATCTCAGTTGACGAGGCGTCCTCTCCCTTGTCCTCCAGACTTCCTATGCCACTTGGATGCATCTTTGCTGCCAGTTCGGAAGATTCTGCACACAGTGTGTTGCCCTTATCTAATGAACTGGTGCATGACTCGCCCTTATTATTTGACTAGACTTTGGCCCTGCTCATATAGAACAGGGGAGCTGCATTGGTTTTCGGCTTTGATCAAACATGGCCTGAAACACATTAGAGACAATACTCACAGCCACGATCCTGACATGATTTATTTAGGCCTGGCTGAACAGTCCTTGGGCAGCGAAAGAGGCAGGTCTTGAGTTTTTTTCTGATGCCTCCAACCTGACACGACCTTGCAGGAAGGGCATTGTTGGCCAGAGACAACACAGGTAGACAGTCTTTTTGCCGGCAATAAAACGCTGACATGCGAGGGCTGCTAGAGACCGGTGACGCGCTGTACGCAGGCACCTTCCATCCATAGCATTCCATTGAAAAAGCAGTACGTACCCGCCGGGAGCATGGCTTGTGCTTCACTGTTGGCTGTGAGCAGAAGGGTCAAAACCGCAATGTAGAATGAGCCAAGCATCTGAGCCAAATGAATCAACTCGTGCAACATAGAAACTTGTGTTTTACTTGAGTCGCAGGGAAGTAAGACAAATCTCATACAATGGCTAAACTTTTAAGCTCACCGCCCACAGCAAAGCTCATTTTTTCGCTCACCGCCTGGAGTGTGCGGAGTGTGTGTTCAACAGAAAGTCGACACCGTTAGTCGATTCTTGAGGTTCAAAAGGACGGCAAAACTGTGGCTTACAAGACCGCCTACTTTGGGGAGGCTCGACGAACCGCGACCGAGTCGGACTTATTTTCGTATTCGATAGGTCCGACAGGTTGGCAACATGTGGCCCAGAAGAATGCACAAACATGTTGGCCCCAGCACAGCTTTGGAATCCTTGGGATAATTCAAGACTAGCAGATGATAGCAGATGTTTGCAGTGTTTACATGCAATAAACATGAATAAGCACACTTTGTTTGCTGGGTCTCAAATTTTGCTTTTGTAAAACTGAGGTTCATGTAGGTGCTCCTCATCAGACGTTCACCGTAGTTTTCGACACTGGGCGCGGTGGCCAAGAAACATCCGCAAGCACCTGCCTGCGCCTGTGAGACACGACTTTTGGGGGGCAAAGTAGGCACTTGTCCGGCGCACAAGTGCCTTGCGCTCGTATCAATAACCAATGACCGGGTTTTGTTCAAATCGACCGATTTGACACGCTTGCCACCGCTTCTAGGTCGGGACACTTGATCCTGCCATCTACTGGTTGCAAAGACCTGAGATTTCACACGCTTGCCTTGGGGTGCTAGAGAGGATCTTGGATGGCTTTCCACTTGATCCATCTTGATCCCAGCTGTTGGCCGCTGACCCCTAGCTTGATGCGTTCGCTCAGTGCCGACGAGCCCTGAGGCTCGAGCCCTGCATGTTTGAAGCACCAGCGCTACAACCGCACGCAGTCGCACACGGCCGTGGGGGCCGCCGAACTGTGAGAGCAGATCGGGCCGGTGGTCAAACGCCGTCGGGTTTTCAAGAAGGGGAAGGGGGTTTTCAATAGCTAAACTCTATCCGTTTTTCCAATGTTTTTCATGATCAGAACCCAAGCTTGATGGGTTTGGGTTTTCGATGGATTTCGATCATGAACTGCACTTCTGATTCTGTGCAGGTCACCGATTACTTTTGCATGGTAGCTTTGGTAACATGATGCCAAGCAAGCCACCCGGCTCAAGACATCTCAGTATTCAAGAGGCAGTTCCTGCTGGCAGTGCACGAGGGAGACCCTTCGGCCACTGGCTTCGGGTTGACTCTGGTTGACTTGTCTTCTTCCCGGGGAGGGTCTCCCTATTTTCATGTTTTAAAGTACCCACCCAAGTCATGCCACAAACAACGCCGCAAAAGGTCGACATTGAGTATGATGGCACAAAGCTTCGGGCAGATGCGACGGAGCGCGATCAGGCATGGCGCCGTTCGCAACAATCGTGCCAACATTGGATTGGCTCAAGTTTAGCATATGACATAGAATGACATAGACTTCTATTGACTACCACGTCGGATGAGCTCTGCAAATTGCCCATCATGACTGTTTTACCATAACCTTTGCTAGCCTGGCTTAGAGCCTTCTTTGTGTGGACACATCATTGTCATGGAACTTTCTTTGTGCCGCATATTTTGAATACACAGGAAGGAACGGAAGCACCTGGGTTCCTTTCCGTGAGGTAGCTATTGCCTTCGGCACTGGCGAAGTTCAAGGGGAGTTCGTCAGCGAGGACGCGGCGCCTCTCGTCGTTTGCTGACGACTGACTTGCGCAGACTGGCTTAGTCAATGCTCGGTAAGCTCGGGACATCAACACCTGTGAAGGACATCAATTGTATGGTTGATTCTTCTGTTTGTATTGAGAAGACGAGTGTAACATACTAAAGGTACCTGTAATTAAAAGCTTTGACTTCACACTTGTCGCTTTGGTGCCCCTGATTCTCCTTTTGGGCTTCACCATGATGGAGGACATCGGAGGATTCTCACATCAGACACGTTTTTCAACAACGAAGCCGAAGATCCCTTGAATGAAAAAACAATTGGAGGATGGGTTCTTTAAAACGAGTGAACAGCAACTGGCCAGGACCCAGGTTTCATGATCATATATTACAAATATACAGTAATAGTCCTTAATCAGAGCTTTGTGCTATTCTGCATTACTTTGCTTTTCCTTCGAATGGCCAGGATGTTTGCTTACGCTCCAATGGAGGCCAGTGATGCCATTTGCAGGAACTCGGACATATTTGTTCAATCCGCACTTGTCACCTATCAATATGATAGATTCGATAGATCGATATTATGAATGATACAAGAACTTGCATTGTCCCAGATGTTCTACTGTACCTCCTTTAACCCTGAGAGTTGCAATGAGCACAACATGGTTTTTGCTTCTCTCCTCTCGTTCCCTGAATTTAGCGGCGCAGGTTCGACGGGCAATGGCTGCGTGAATTTGCGAGTCGCCACTGGCTGAGTTTTCCGAGTAGGAAAACATGGATTCGTTTTTAGGTGTAGCCATGGAGTGTGGCTGACGGGCGCCTGCAAATTTGCCAGTCATGAAGCTGGCACCCCCCAAGATTCTTGCAGTATCAAACCCATGTCAATAGTCATGATGAGTCATGACAGGTCCGAAGTTGAAACTCCGGATTAGATACTTTTAGAGCCTGCTCAACGCTTTGATACAATGTGTAGAAGTAGTCTCATGCGCAAATTTGAAGGGAAGCACTATCTAGAGTGTGGCACAGAATGGTCGCAGAATTGTTGGGCAGATTACGGCAGATTGGAAGAAGATCTGAGGTGCTTGCATCCAAAATGACCGAGGACTACCCGGCTGTAACTCGTGTTTTGTTTGGTCCACGGGAATACACAGGATCCAACACTGGCATGAAAGCCCCGCTGCCACACCTCACTTAGCATACAAGCAGTTCCCGGGCAAGACGGCGGCGGAAGTTTCCTATAAGAACTAATTGACCTATAGGAGTGTTCCGGTTCTCTCAAACACGCGCGTCCCCCAGTCAAACGCACGCGCTCCGGACTTCAACCTTCAGTACAAACTTACCTGTTGACAAAACAATCAACTGTAACCAGTGTTGGGTTATGATGAGTGGTGTATGATGAGTGATGTATGATGAGTCTTGTATGATGAGGGGTGTATGACGAGTGGTGTATGATGAGTGGTGTATGTTGAGTGGTGTATGATGAGTGGTGTATTATGAGTGGGCAGCGAGAGATGACTCAGCAATGAGAGATGACTCAGCAACCACAGATGACTCAGCAGCGAGAGACGACTCAGTCGCGAGAGATGACTCAGCAGCGACAGATGACTCAGTCGCAAGAGATGACCCCTCCGCGTACTAAAGTTGTACTGCAAAATGGCCAGTTCTCAGCTTCCAGCTCCACAGGTTGCTCCGCATACTAAAGTTGTACTACATAGTCGCCAGTTCTCAGCCTCCAGCTCCCCAGATACTCCGCGTACTAAAGTTGTACTACAAAGTGGCCAGTTCTCAGCTTCTAGCTGCACAGGTTGCTCCGCGTACTACAGTTGTACTACAAAGTCGCCAGTTCTCAGCCTCCAGCTCTACAGATTGCTCCGCGTACTAAAGTTGTACTACAAAGTCGCCAGTTCTCAGCTTCCAGCTCTACAGATTGCTCCGCGTACTAAAGTTGTACTAGAAAGTC